CCCAATTAAACTCTTGATATCACATTTGGCTGAATGATTTTCCAGAAAAACTGAAAAAGTCAATAAACGAACAAGAAATCATAACTTTTCTAAAATTTCTAAGAGCCATAAATTTTTTTGTGGGGAAATTTGGATTTAACCTATTATACCAGGAAGCTTTTTAAAACCCATTCTACTGATTAAACCTAAAATCTCATATTTGCGAGGATACTTTTCGTGACAAGTCAAAAAGTTAGAATTTCTTCCAACAAAAAACCAAAATTTTACTTTTCCGCGGGTCAAATTTTTTTTTTTGAATTAAAACTTGAGCCACCTAGGCAGGAGAGCTTCATGCAATCTGTTTTTTCGATTGAACTAAAAATCTCATATTTGGGAGGGTAGTTTTTGACACAGAGGCCAAGTTGCACTTCGCATACACAAGCAAAAAAACATGACCGATAACGCTAATGGGAAAAAGTGAATGGCTAAAACTCTGAGTCTACAAAATTTCTTAATTGACGCACGCCAATTATGAGTCTACATAATTGCTTAGTGAAGCAAGCCAATTATAACTCAATAGTAGTACAAGTCAATTTGAAAAAAAAGTTACAAACTAACATGCCTCAATTAATAGAGCAGATGCATTTTAGCTAGTATACGAAAAAATCATTAAAAACATCCGACCCTGCCAAGGTTCGAACCCTCTTATTTTCTTGCAGGTCTCCTTCCCTACCTCTACGCTACAGATTCATGATACCATGAAGCTAAAGTGGTACTAGAGGCCCAGGTTAAGCTGGTGGTACCGGGTTGATATTTTTCGATTCGTTGTACTGATGCGGGATAGGTAGTTTAAAAAATTTAAGCGTTGGGCTTCACCCAAAACCTTGGTTGTTGCTCTACTAAAAAATGAGTAAAAAAATTAGTAAGTTTCCCAGAAACATTACAATTTTCGAATTTTCCCAGAAACATGTTTCTTGTTCAAACTTAAATTTGTAGCAGTTTATAAACGGAGGCTTCTTACAACCTGCTGCCTTGATTAAACCTTTGATATCAGATTGAGTTGTTTTCGAGAAGTCAAAATTAAAAAAAAGGACAAGAAATCAATACATTGACTTTTCTGAAGGCCATAATTTTTCTATGCGAAAAAAATTGAACGTGAGCGCTTACACAGACGAGCTTCGGTCAACCCTATTTTTCTTCAATAAACCTAAAATTTCAGGTTTGAAATCGTAGTTTTCAAGACAATTGTAGAAAAACGGCTTAACACAAATTTTTGACTTCTAAAAAAAACTGCAATAAATTGACATTTCCGAGGGTCATTAGTATTTGTTTTAAAAATTAGGCGTAACCGCTTATGAAGTGGGGCTTCCCAAAACCCGTTCTTCACACTGAAACCAATACCTCAGATTCAGGAGGGTAGTTTTTGAGAGAACACAAAAAGTTTCAAATGATAGTCGAAAAATCGACTTTTCCGAGTGCTATAATTTTTGTGTAACAGAAATTGGGCTTAATCGCTGATGCGGAGGATCTTCCCACAGCCTGCTCTACACAATGAACCCAAAACCGCAGATTTGCTCGGGTACTTTTCGAGAAAACGTATAAAACTCAAAAAATGGGTTCGAAAATTCCATTAAACACTTTTTCGAAGGCTGCAGAAAGTGGGATAAGGTGAAAAGGGAAATAAGCAAGAACACAAGTGAGTGGCCGGACTTCTCATTAAAACCATTCTTTTGAAAAACGGAAGAGTATTTAATGAGAAAAACGAAAATTTTCCAAAGCGTCTCAATAAACGAATCACAAAAACACAAAAAAACCGATGCCATACATTTTCATCAGACCTGTTTTTATGAAATAGGAACAAGAACCCACCTTAAGCTTGGAATACCTGGTTGATAATTTATGACATTTTTGTATTGATGTGGAAGGACAAGAGTAATTTAAAAACAGACATATAGCAAAAAAAAGCAAATCCCAATTTAATGACTTCAAAATCTGTTAATTTCATCAATTACTTCAGTTTTCTTAAAAAACGAAGTGATAACAAGAGCTTGTTAGGTTGAATGATGCTTAAGACGTTGATAAGATTTGGATGGGCAGTTTTCGGGAGAAAACAAAAAGTTTGAAAAACGGTCACAAAATCGTAAAATTGACTTTTCCGAGGGTCATAACTTTCTGTGTAAAAAAATCTGAGCGTATCCGCTAAAACAGGGGAGCTCTCTACAACCCGTCCGTTCGATTGATACTAAACTATCAGATTTGGGAGAGTAGTTTTCCAGAAAAGTCGTTTCAGAAAATGGTCACAAAATTGAAAAAGTGACTTTTCCGAGGGTCATTACTTTTTGTGTAGAAATTTGGGGGCAACCACTAACGCAGGGGAGCTTCCCAAAATCTGTTTTACCTATTGAAACCAAAATTTCAGATTTGGGAGGGTAGTTTTTCGAGAAAAGTCAAAGTTTGAGAATACGGTCAAAAATCGACAAATTGATTTTTCGGGGCGTCGTAGCATTTTCTTAAAAAATTTGAGCGTAACCGCTATAACAGGGAAGCTCCCCACAACCCGTTCCACCTATTGAAACCCAAATCTCAGATTTGGGAGGGTAGTTTTCGAGAAAAGTCAAAAAGTTTGAAAAACAGTCACAAAAACAAAAATTTGACTAATTTGAGGGTCTACACTTTTTGTGTAGAAAAATTGAGCGTAATCATTTAGGCAGCCGAGCTTCCCACAACTCATTCTAATCATTGAAACCAAAACCTCATATTTTGCTAGGGTACTTTTTGAGCAAAATCAGTAAGTTTCCAAAAACGGTCAAAAACTCGTAAAATTGACTTTTCTGAGAGTCATAGCTTTTTTCTGAAAAAATTTGAGCGTAACCGCTGTAGCAGGTGAGCTCCCCACAACCCGTTCCACCTATTGAAACCCAAATCTCAGAATTGGGAGGGTAGTTTTCGAGAAAAGCCAAATGGTTTGAAAAAACGGTCAAAATCGAAAAATTGACTTTTCTGAGGGTCATGAATTTTATTTAAAAAAAGAGCGTAATCTTTTAAGCATCGGAGCCTCCAAGACCCATTACAATCATTGAAACCAAAACCTCATATTTTGCTAGGGTACTTTTTGAGCAAAATCAGTAAGTTTCCAAAAACGGTCAAAAACTCGTAAAATTGACTTTTCTGAGAGTCATAGCTTTTTTCTGAAAAAAATTGAGCGTAACCGCTGTAGCAGGTGAGCTCCCCACAACCCGTTCCACCTATTGAAACCCAAATCTCAGAATTGGGAGGGTAGTTTTCGAGAAAAGCCAAATGGTTTGAAAAAACGGTAAAAATCGAAAAATTGACTTTTCTGAGGGTCATGAATTTTATTTAAAAAAAGAGCGTAATCTTTTAAGCATCGGAGCCTCCAAGACCCATTACAATCATTGAAACCAAAACCTCATATTTTGCTAGGGTACTTTTTGAGCAAAATCAGTAAGTTTCCAAAAACGGTCAAAAACTCGTAAAATTGACTTTTCTGAGAGTCATAGCTTTTTTCTGAAAAAAATTGAGCGTAACCGCTGTAGCAGGTGAGCTCCCCACAACCCGTTCCACCTATTGAAACCCAAATCTCAGAATTGGGAGGGTAGTTTTCGAGAAAAGCCAAATGGTTTGAAAAAACGGTAAAAATCGAAAAATTGACTTTTCTGAGGGTCATAAATTTTATTTAAAAAAAGAGCGTAATCTTTTAAGCATCGGAGCCTCCAAGACCCATTACAATCATTGAAACCAAAACCTCATATTTTGCTGAGGTACTTTTTGAGCAAAATCAGTAAGTTTCCAAAAACGGTCAAAAACTCGTAAAATTGACTTTTCTGAGAGTCATAGCTTTTTTCTGAAAAAAATTGAGCGTAACCGCTGCAGCAGGTGAGCTCCCCACAACCCGTTCCACCTATTGAAACCCAAATCTCAGAATTGGGAAGGTAGTTTTCGAGAAAAGCCAAATGGTTTGAAAAAACGGTCAAAATCGAAAAATTGACTTTTCTGAGGGTCATGAATTTTATTTAAAAAAAAGAGCGTAATCTTTTAAGCATCGGAGCCTCCAAAACCCATTACAATCATTGAAATTAAAACCTCAGATATTGGGGTCATATGAGGTTTTATGAGGGTCATAGCATTTTGTGTAAGAAAAAAGGGCCTAGCCGCTTATGCAGGGAGCTTCCAACAAACTGTTCCAACCATTGAACTCCAAATCGCAAATTTGCGTGGGTAGTTTTTGAGACAATTTATAAAATCCAAAAATTGGGGCACAAAATTCACTCAGGGGAGTGGCCGGAGTTCCCATTGGTACCACTCTTTTGAAATTCGGTAGAGTAATTTTTTGGGGAAAAAGTGAGTTTTTACTATAACACAAGCACTGCTTGAGTAATAAAAACTGCAAAACATTTGGAAAAAAAACAGTCAAAAAATCAAAAAAAAAACTTTTTTGAGGGCGATAACTTTTGGTGTAAAAACTTGTGACTGGCCGCTAATGCAGCGGAGTTTTCCACTACCCGTGATCTCTAGTGAACCTGAAAACCTCATTATCGAGAAAACTCAAAAAATGACAAAAAGATTTTGAAAACATCAAAAATGTCCGAGGGTCATAAGTGTTTGTGATAAAAAATTGAGCGTAACCATTTAATTAGGCCAGCTTCACACAACCTGTTTTTATTGAATACAAAACTTTGAGTGAGGAAAAATTTCCACATAGCCGCTTATGCAGAGTAGCTTCCCACAACCTGTTCCACCCATTGAACACAAAAGCTCAAAATCCCCCCACAGACTTTTTCGAAGATTGGTACGGCTAACAGAGTAGGCGTATATTTAGGCACACAGAAGAAAGTTTGAAGTCAAAAAACCACTTTTCGAGAAAAGCTAATATTGTTGAAAATAGTGAAATTATCCCAAGCTTAGAAAAAAAATTAAAAAAAACAGATCCCTAACATTTACTAAATACCTGTTTTATTCAAACAAGAATATCATTAATCATGGCAGAAACAGGCTTTGCCTACCTGGTTCTGCAGGAGCGCGTAGAATCCCAATCCGAATGCGACGATAAAGAGGAAGAAGACGACGAAAAAGTTGAAGAAGGTCAGTAGGATGTCAGTGAACATCACCACGTAAATGCCGAATTTGGGGAACTTCTGGATGAAGAGAACCAGATTTATCCAGGAGAGAAATATGGCCAAAGCTCCGCACTGCCACTGCCAGTTCTATGAGCATACAAAAAATACTTTGAGCATACTCTTCATTCTAGTTTTTTGTCAAAAATTCGTTACAACTCGAGGCGAACAGGTTCCAGGCAGACGCCAACTTGCGTGCGTGCGTTCAGTTAGTGGCATTTTGTATTTGTTTAAACTACTTAATTGAACAATTATTAATTAACAATGATTTAATTTATCGAATAAGAATAAAACAAGATCATAACTTAACTAATCTTCCCGCGTCAAAAACAGACTCCGCCGAGTCTATGGGTCAAAGGTCAGTCTGGTGCCATGTTACCTAGTCGAGTTTATCTGGCGTGAGCGAAACGGACTGTACAGTATTTAAGCGCTCTTAAAAATATCTACAGCTCTGAAATTATGTGAAAATATGCATATATTTTTTCTGTTCTTAGTTTTCGTTTAACTAGCGTTTGACGCACCTTCGGTGCTTCGAAATTTTTCGACAACTCATGAAAAACCGCACATATAAGAAAAAACATCTGCAAACTTTCAGTGTACTCTGACTGCACCCAATTACAGGGTTGGTAATTTCGAACTTTTAAATTTTTTTAAATCCCATTTTAAAAGCTTCATCTCGAAAACCTAATGGGCCTCTGGAGAATATTGGAGGCCAGATTTTCAACCACTGAGAGTCCCTGAGAGCACCCTACTATAGGGTTAGGAATCCAAAATTTTGTGAATTTTTTTAAACCTAAGTTTCCCGAAAAAAAAAATGGGAAAAAAAACGTCTTATCTCGGAAACTGAAAGTATTTGAGCATCCATATTAAGAGGCAAGATTTAAGACACCTGGGTAAACGCTGACAATAAGGTTGTATCTTCATCAAGTTAGTAGTTTCAAATTTTTTGAATTTCTTTGTAGATAAGTTTTTTGAGAAATTTTTAAAAAATCAAAAAACGTCACATCTCAGAAACTAAAAGCATTTGAGCAGTCGCGTTTAGCAGTCGCATGTGGCAAGATTTGCAACGAATTAAACAGTCATACTTGGAGGCAAGATTCGCAATCTTTGAGAGTACTCTGACAGGACCTAACTACAGGTTTGGGAGTTTCAGATTTTTAAAAACTAATAATAATTTTTCTGAAAAATTTTGGAAAAAATCACAAAAAAACGTCTCGAAAACTACAAACAATTGAGCAGTCATATTTGGAGGCAAGATTCGCAATCTTTGAGATTACTTTGACAGGACACAACTACAGGGTTGGGAATGTCAGATTTTGCGGAAAAAAATAATGAACGTTTTCTGAAAATTTTTTGAAAAAATCACAGAAAACATCATATCTCGAAAACTACAAAGAATTAAGCAGTCATACTTGGAGGCAAGATTCGCAATCTTTGAGAGTACTCTGACAGAACCCAACTACAGGGTTGGGAATTTCAGATTTTGCGGAAAAAAATTAATAAGTTTTCTGAAATTTTTTGAAAAAAAATCACAAAAAACATCATATCTCGAAAACTACAAGGATTTGAGCAGTCATATTTGGAGGCAAGGTTCTCGATCCTTGATAGTACTCTGACAGCACCCAACTACATGGTTGGGAACTTCAATTTTGCAAATTATTTTGTTATTTGAAATTTCTAAACATTTTTGAAAAAGTCTCAAAAATCGTCTTACCTGGTTAACTTAAATGATTCGGGCATGTAAAATTGGAGGCCAAATTTGCAACCCCTAATTCGATATTGGGTTGCTTAATTCAAACTCGGTAAGATAACCACTAAAATCAAATTGGAAAATCGAAAAAAAATTCTTAACCATTGCAATATACGATATCGCTTAAACATGCAAAAATAATGTTGAAAAACTTAAACATGGCGAGATAGTGAAGCCCGCATTTAAAGATATAATAGATAGATTTTCGGAATCTGTACTAAAAAAACATTCAGAAAATGTATTGGTTGTTGTCGAAGGCCGGGATCCGGTAAGTCGAATTTCGCAAGAATATCGCAAGAAAGTTTGTACGAATTAGCAGAATGACCACTTATGGCCGAAAAGAATAAAAAAAGAATAGCTCACTGTGGGTGTGTCGTCTTCGTTGAGACCAATCGCAGTGGGTAGTACTAGTATCAGGGCGAGGGAAAAACAGCCGACCTCAATGAAATTAGTTCCCGACAAGAAGTAGCTCATTTTGTAGACCTTGATTTGGAATAACTGGAACAGCACAACTCACTCAAGTAAATATTCGAAGTAAAAAAATTGAGGCTATTATTTAACAGTTTTGAGAACTCATCTAAATTAATTCAAAATACACTCCTACGTATTTTTTATAATCGCACCGAATTCTAGGAGTTTCACCGATTTGACGCCAATTGGCTTTTTTGACACCCATTATTAGCCAAAACTTCTCGTTAAAAGGCATGCTTGGCTTCATTGACATCGGGAAATGTTAAATCGTAGGTTATAATTTCAGTACTCTTAACTTATGAATGAGTCTTTTAAAGTGAATTTAACTAACCTCTTTGAACAAGTTGAATACCGCAAAGCCTATTATTATCCACTGCCCTATATTGTGAAATAGCCTGAACGAATTGTAGTTCACGCCAGAACCATCGAAATTTTTAACGTATTCGTCCAAAGTATCATACAGATCAGTCGCATTTCCCTTCCAGAAGTGTTTCGGCTTCGTGACCACTATGTAGCCTGTTAGAACGCTAAGATAGATCAGAAACTGTGTCAAATTAGCATAATAGACCAAGCTACCGAAGGTGCTCCATTTGTGTCTCAGCAACATCAGTACAAGAGGATGTTGAAGTAAATGTTCTGCCTCGTTCGACACCTGCATATCAAATAACAAAAATGATATTCTTGAATTTTCTTAATTAAAATCTAATTAAACGTCAGCTTCGAAATTTAAAAACTTCATTGATGAGTATGCAGTAGGAAAAAGTATCAAGCAAGTAATTTGTGAGGCAACAAAACTCAAGCGTTGTAGTCGTAATTAAGTATTTCACACATCATTGCAAATTCATGGTGATTTCATTGACTTTTTCCTGTTCCCTCTAGCAAAAATAAATTTTCACGATTGCGCGAGGTCGAAATGTTCTTTTCATCCGATAGCAAGTAGTCATATATCTGGCTCACATTTATTCATTGGCTCAACTTTCATCAAATAAAAAAATTGGAGAAGGCCACTTGAGGTGAGGGAGAAAAACCATAAAACTTAAACTCATGCTGTGCGTAAAAGCACCTGACTTAACAGTGCGCATGTGAAAACTTTTAATACGTCTAATACATCCTCTGGGCCATTTTTGATTCTTGAAATGCTTCTCAAATACACATTTGTATGAAAAGCTCATGATAAAATGATATGCTATCATTTAATTTCAGTTCTGATTCAACAAAGATTTTTTTCAATTTCTTCTCTTTCAATTCATTTGACATGACTACAAAATACAAGTTGATAAGATTCTTCGACATAATTCAACATTGGGAGCTTAGTCAGTACCAATTACCTTGTACTTTTGTTCACTTTCATTGTACCACATTTCGTGGGCTACCTGGAATTCACAAACTTTTATAAGAAACAAACTGATTTTTGAGAGCAAATGAGCTCAGAACATTCGAAACAATTTACATTGTCGTGACACCTTTCAATTTCAACAAACTTTCATGACACAGAGGCGAAGCGGAAATGCGCATTACTTGCGATACAATGCAAGCGCAGCATTGCTGGCTAGTGAATAGAAATTAAGACGGAAATATCGAAAATCGTAAAAACACCAGTAGTCAATAAGCTTTCAGTATTAACCGAGCGGCCATTGAGCCGACAAATAGGTAGACGTCAATTCAGCCGAAAACAATGCCTGAAGGAACTGATGTCAGGACAAAATTTGAGCAAGTTTCAAAACAATGAACCTTTCAAAACAAACTACCTGAATTTTAAAAGATATATACTTTTTGACTTTGAAGCGACACAGAATAAGGTGAATACGCACATAGAAAAAAGCCTAATAAAGCTCTTAACCAACAAAGAAAAACAAAATATAACATACAACGCAGGGCTATTAAATTACAAATAACAGGAGTATATCAAAAACCATTGAATCTACGAAGAAAACTCCCCGTGGCAAGTAAGCTGACAAGACATAATCAGATTAAGGGAAGACTGACAATTCAATTTTTCCTGGAATTTTTTTTCCAATTTTATACATATTGAAAAAACAAGGTCATGCCGTGACTCAACCCCAAACCTTAGGGTTCAAAGGCGACAATTATCAACTTGAAGCTCTTTGAATTTAAAGAAACTCTAATGATTGACATTTTTTGATAATACAAACCCAATTTGAGAAAACTGGATCAATAGACTACGTTTTACTGCTGCATATTTTGCGATATCAAGTCCGTTTCTTGACACTAATTTACTTCACGTTTTTTCGCGACATTTGGACGTGCAGAAAAGGATTCCTTTTTAGCACCAGCAAATGAACTGAACTTGGAAAAAATCAGAGGCCAAGCCGCAAAAATATCAAATTTGAACGTTAAAGTGTGAATGTAGGAAATGAACTTGAAAGCGACCTTAAAAACTGAATCGGCAAAACAAAAAAAATTCCAGAAATAAAAACAAACTAGAAAAACCAATAACTAAAAAAACTAAAATTCAAACAAAAAATATACCACTTTGGAGCTCTTTATTTTTCAAGAATCAATTATGCTCAACAAATTTTCACTTCGCACCATTTCCAATTTTTTTGAGTAAAGAGTCTAATTTTCTTTGCTTTGAGCAATAGAATTTGGAATCATTTAGCAAATAAATTTGAATTGAACTTACAAAGAAAAAAGTCAAAGCGCAAAAGATCACACTTGGTGTGATCAAATTAAAAAAATTTCCAGAAGAAAAAACTACGAGAACACATGGAGAACTACATACATTTCTTCACTTCATTGATTGACACTTGAAATTTTTTTTGCTATGTGACATCGAGCCTCTGACCTCGCTCGTGAAAATGAAATCCAAAAAATTTGACGAAGTTAATTCAAAAGCGCAATCTGCTAAGTTTGAACAAAGTTTGCAGACAATTGTGGATTGTTAGGTGACCTTGAATCATACCATCTTTCTGAAAACTTATTTTGGCACACCAAAGTTTTCTGAAACAACTCATATCCTGTTTCGTGAAGCTCTTTCAATTTCGAGAAAATTTTATGACAGAGGCAAAGCGGAAATGCGCATCACTTGCGATACAATGCCAGCGCAGCATTGCTAGCTAGTTAATAGAATTTAAGACGGAAATAGCGAAGAACTGAAAAACACCAGTAAAATACAAGTTTTTAGTATAAGCCGAGGCACAAACATTACACAGGGGCGAAGCTGTGCTTAGCAAACATCAGCGAGAGCACAACAAAAAGCAGCTTTTTAAGAAAAAAATAAAAAAATAGAAATAAAACTCGAATTAGTCAAACTTTGCAATGTATCGGATTCGAACATGAGACCTCGAGGTTTGGAGTTTCTGTCCCTCTCCTCACTGCCACGAACGCTTAACAATCGGCAAACACAAGTCACAAAAAAGCAGCTACAAATGCTGATAAATTGTCAGTTCCATTCAGCAAAAGTGACACAAGACTCAATTTTGCAAGTAATAGTTTGGAAAATGACAATCTGAAGGCATCCACCAGATTATCTGAAAGCATAAAGCCAGATTATGCATAAATTAGGCATTTCAAAAAGACTGCGAGATATATTGAGTTAGAAAAAATCTGAAACAAATTTTTATGATTGTTATGTTGTTTGAAACAAATATCTTTTTTTTTCGGTTCAACTGATGAATTGAAAAAGCATCAACTGTGGTAACTTATTACTATTCCAACTTCAAAGCACATGCTACACAGAGGCGAAGTTGCACTTCGCATACACAAGCAAAAAACACGACCGATAACGCTAGTGGGAAAAACTGATTGGGTAAGACTTTGAGTCTACAAAATTTCTTAAGTGACGCACGCCAATTATGAGCCTACATAAATGGTAAGTGACGCAAGCCAATTATAACGCATTAGCAGTACCAGTCGATCTGAAAAAGAAAAGAAATTTACCAAATAACATGCCTCAATTTATAGAGCGGACGCATTGAAACTGGTATACGAAAAACTCATTAAAAACATCCGACCCTGCCCAGGTTCGAACCCTCTTATTTTGTTGCGGGTCTCCTTCCCTACCTCTACACTACAGATCCATTATACCTTGAAGCTAAAGTGTTACTAGAGGCCCAGCTAAACCTGCAGGTAACGGTTTGGTTGTTGCTCTATTAAAAAATGAGTGAAAAAACTTGTAATTTTGGTATTTTCCAGAAAACATGTTTCTTGTTCCCAGTTTAAAGATGAGCAGTTTACACACAGGCTTCCTACAACTTTTTTCCTTGATTAAACCTTTGATATCAGATTGAGTTGTATTCGAAAAGTCAAAAGTTTAACGAAACGAACAAGAAATCAAAACATTGACTTTTCTGAAGGCCAAAACTTTTTTGAGTTAGGATAAATGGGCGAGAGCAAAAAAACAGACAGCTTAGCTTAACCCTTTCTTTCTTCATTGTAAATAAAATTTCAGGTTTGAAATGGTAGTTTTCAAGACATTGTAGAAAAACTGCAAAAAAAATTGACTTCTCCGAAGGTCATTAGTTTTGTTTCAAAAAAGAGGACTAACCGCTTATGAAGTGGAGCTTCCCACAACCCGTTCTTCACACTGGAACCAAAATCTCAGATTTGGGAGGGTAGTTTTTGAGAAAATCCAAAAAGTTTCAAATGACAGTCAAAAATTCGACTTTTCCGAGAGCCAGAACTTTTTGTGTAACAAAAGATAAGCTTAATCGCAGATGCCGGGGAGCTTCTCACAGCCTGTTCTAAACAATGAACCCAAAATCGCAGATTTGCTCGGGTACTTCTCGAGAAAATGCATGAAGTTCAAAAAATTGGGTTCAAAAATTCCATCAAACACTTTTTCGAAGGCTGTAGAAAGTCGGGTAAGGTCAAAAGGGAGATGGGGAACAAGCAAGAACACAAGGGAGTGGCCGGAATTCTCATTAAACCCACTCTTTTGAAAATCGGTAGAGTATTTAATGAGAAAAACGAAAATTTTTTCAAAGCGTCTCAAAAAAACAAATAACAAAAACACAAAAAAAACCGATGCCATACATTTCATCAGACCTGTTTTTATCAAATAGGAACTAGAGCCAACCTTAAGCTTGAAATGCCCGGTTGAAAATTTATGACATTTTTGTATTAATGCGGAAGGACAAGAGTAATTTCAAAAACAGACCTATAGCAAAGAAAAGTAAATCCCAATTTAATGACTTCAAAATCTGTTAATTTCATCAATTACTTAAGTTTTCTTAAAAAATGAAGTGACAACAAGAGCTGGTTAGGTTGAATGATGCTTAAGACGTTGCTTATTAGATTTGGGTGGGTAGTTTTTGAGAAGTCAAAAAGTTTGAAAAACGGTCACAAAATCGAAAAATTGACTTTTCAGAGGGTCATAACTTTTTGTGTAAAAAAATCTGAGCGTATCCGCTAAAGCAGGGGAGCTCTCTACAACCCGTCCGTTCGATTGAAACTAAAATATCAAATTTGGGAGGGTAGTTCTCCAGAAAAGTCGTTTCAGAAAATGGTCAAAAAATCGAAAAGTTGACTATTTTGAAGGCCATAACTTTTTGTGTAAAAAAGATTTGAGCGTAGCCGCTTATATTGGGGAGCTTCCCAGAACCTGTTCTAACCATTGAACGCAAAATCGCAGATTTGCGTGGGTAGTTTTTGAGAAAATGTATAAAATCTAAAAATTTGGGTACAAAATTTACCCCAACACACTTTTTCGAAGCCTATAGAAAGTGGGGTAAGGTAAAAAGAGGATAGGGGAGTATGCAGGCACACAGGGGAGTGGCCGGACTTTCCATTCGTACCACTCTTCTGAAAATCGGTAGAGTAGTTTTTGAGAAAAACGAAAACTTTCCAAACGTCACAAAAAAAATAATAAAAAACCCGATCCCATACATTTTCATAATACCTGTTTTTATCAAACAGGAAGTTCCAATATAATAGTCTGCGTTAATATCTTTAGCATTGGCTGTATTTAATAGCTGGTTATTGATCAAAATGAACACTTTCAAAATGAACACAATTGTCGCAACAATATTTGCGACTTAGAATGGAAAAAATAGTGAGTTCATACTATAACACAAGCTATGCTGTGTAATCAAAACGCCGTAAAGGTGCCACTAAAATTGGCACCAATATTTGTGACTTAGATTCGAAATAAAAGAATAGTCGTATTATTTTTTTACACTACGCTCACTAAAGTACGCAAGTGTAATCAGAGATTACAAATTCTCACCATGACAGATAGTGGGTGGTTGTTGATCAATGTCTTTGTGCTATCAACGTATTTATTCGCCTCGGGTAAAACATGCGGATTTCTGCCTGAAATAGGATCTGCATCAACGTACACCTTCGCCTCTCCAGCTAACGACACTCCGTCCTTCAGGGATCCCAAGTCACTTTGGTTTTCGGGTGACTTTGCTGATGCTGTCTCCAGAGTAGATCCATCGATCGACGTTCCAGAGGGTTCCGGAACCCAATTAGTCATAGAATAGTCGTCGTCTATGAACTCGTAAATGAATGTAACGCTGAACTCTTCGTCATTTGGTCCGTGCACCTTGTCTGGTATGATGCAGTTGTTGAAAGCCTTAACAGCCATCTCTGAAAATAAAGACATTAATAGCATACAATATGAACCCATTCCGTTCGATCCAAAATTACGCTCGCTTCAATGACTGCGGTGTTCAATTCATTTTGCATTTTAGCATAGTTTTCGTTTAATAATTAATGGAACTATGTCGCGCAATAAAACTTAAATATACACCCATCTACCAACTTAAGTTTAAATATAGTATTTATTTTCGGTGATGTGAATGACTAATTCGATACCGCAGACAACCATAGTACGGCGCAAAGCTATGCAAAAGCGGAAAATCTCATGCATAATTCCTCTCTAAACAAGGTAAGGATCTCGAGAAATCGAAAAGCTTCCGCCTCATTGCACTATTGGCCTCAATCGCCAAACTTAAGGAAAAGACTTTCTTACCTGAGCTAAACCTACACAAACAACAAGCAGACCACCAAGACGGTTTTAGGAAAGCCCGGTTCACCGTGACTGCCATTAACTGTATCTATCACATCATAACCAAAGGACTGAATCATGAGAAACCATGACAAGGAACTCTCATGGTTGCACTTGATCTAACAGCTGCATTTGACACAGTAAATCACAGCGGCCTTCTAAATGACATATACAACTCAGAATTAACAACCAACACCAAGCGATGGCGATTAACCTATCTCCAAGGACGCTTCACATACGTTGAATTTAAGAGACGCAAAATCTGACATGAAAAGGATTAAGCAAGGTGTACTGTAAGATGGTGTTACCTCGCCCACACTCTTTGACCTAAATGAGCTCCATGCCAAAGACAGGAGAAAATGTTAAGCTAGTCACTTGTGCTGATGACATAACAATACTAGCTTGAGATCCACATCCAATTGAGCTTTACAACTTTTACTTCACAACAAATGGCTAAAGAACAGGCACTTAAACCTTCCTCTTGAAGACAAATCCATGGCAATTCCTTTTACATCTTGGTCTGCCAAAGTAACTACGAAACCAAAGTCGATATTGGATGATACCAATTAAAAACATCCAAAATCCCAAAAAACCTGAGTGTTACCTATGATAACATAATCATATTTGAAACTTATGCACTCAATTTTTGCGAAGAAATAAAGTCCTCAAACAATTTGCAAAAACCAAATGGTGATGTCAAAAAGAAACACTAGCCATCACTTATAAAGCAATCAGTTAGCGTAATGATTACACTTCAAAACGATGCCCTTAGAAAACAAATGACTATAGATCAATTACACGATGAAACCGAAATTCTCCCTGTTCAGGAGCATAATGAAATGCTTGCCAAACAGTTCTCCTTCGGAAAACATATCTGCCAAACATATCTTCCGGAACTCGCAGATCATAGCATTTTAGACTCAAACAGCAGACGCATACTGAAAGCAACATTTAAAACAAAATACGAGCAAAAAATTGCCGTACTCCTGCCAACTGATTCAGTTTTTACAATTATTCAATACAAAATCGACCTCAAAGATCTGCATACTAAACAATGAGACTTTAATGAGAGTAACCACAGTAAACTTTTGGTTATGACCAATCCAGGAGTGAACTTCGAAGAAGAACAGAAACTCTCACGTGAGGCTAGGCGTACACTTGCACATCTCCGCTCTGGATACTGACCCATCCTGAATAGCTAACGTAACACGATTGACCCAAAAGTGGCTAATATATGGACTGTTTGCTATCTAGGCCCGCATGACCCACTCTCGTGACACGCTCTACCTATCCCGTTGGGGGCCAATATCACTGAACTAGTGACGAGACGAAACCACTATTAGCCAAAACAAACGGAGCCAATGTCGTCAAGAGTAAACGAGGCTACTGCAACAGCAACAACGAATCAGATAGAATGACTCAGTATAGTGCTTCGTTGACAAAATGAAAACAAAAATCTTGTCCGCTACTTCATTGACCAGCTTTGAATCTGGCAACACTTCTCAAACTTCTAGAAACTGTAGATTGACTGACCTGGCATTCGACGGATGAGTTTTCGCATGGGCGTGTTGATCTGAACCGTGTCCTTGTCATTGAAAGCGGTTCTGTTCTGCATGGCAAACTGCCACCACTCTTCATTGTCCAGAATGGTTTCAACGCACTGCCTGCAGAGAACACTCTTGATTAAACTCTTAGATAACGAAGTGCCACTACTTTTTTTGATTTTTTTCTTGAAAAAGTACGTTTTCTCGAAACCATCAAATTTCCATCTTAACTAATGCAAAAATCCAAACGCACGACTCTCTTACTTCGACTGAGACTCGATCGCAATGTCCAGTGGGTTCTTTCCGTTCGAGGTACACCTTATCTCCAATGACGCATCATAATCCAGCAGCAACTTCACCATTTTAGGGTGGTTGTTCTGACAGGCCAGATAGAGAGGTGTGATACTGGACTTGTCAGTAGCATCTACCGGAGCATCATTTTCCAGAAGAATTCTCGCACACCTTGTGAAGCCCTTGGCTGCGGCACAGTCCAACGGAGTCCATTGGGAGATGTTCCTGAAGATTACAAAAGACCTTCACAACCTGCCAAAAAGGGTAATTTTTGGATGCGAGTTTTAAAATATAAATAGCATTCTCAAGTTTCTGTTTCTCATACAAAAACACGAAGTTGGATGTAGAAAGAGAAGCTGAACGGAGAATATAGAATATAAAATAAGAAGAGCATTAGCCTAAAACAATGCTTAAATTGAACAGAACACGAGACAGGCAAAAGAACTGAGCAATAAAAAGATTAAAATCCAAACCTGCACTAATATGATATGTCATCTACGTTCTGGAAAAAAGACTCATTTAAACTCTTCAAGGATTCTTTAGGCTATTACAAAAAAAAACATAGACACTAAATCGTCAAAAAAAATAACATTAAAATTTCAGTAGTCCTAGGAAAAAATGTTCCCTACCTGGACTCTACATCAGCCTGATAGTGAATCAACAATCCCACTACTTTCTCGTGACCCTCCGTGGCCGCCAGATGCAGCGCCGTATTGGAGTCCTCGTCTTCACACCCCACTAAGTCATCATCCAAATTACAAATTAACCTCACTGTCTTTGTCCTTCCGTACACAGCTGCTAAATGAAGAACTGTCTCTTCGTCCTCGTTTTTCAAAGCTAGGTCGCCGCCATGGTCGTAGAACAGTTGGAGCATGTCTGCCAATCCGTTTCGTGCTGCGATGTGAAGAGCAGTATTACCTACGTTGTCTCGCTCTGACAACATCCCTTTCACATTATTTTTCTGCAGAAGTTTCTAAAACAGACAAACCGAAAGCTTGAAACATAGCCAACTAACAGTTGGAAAAGAGTAATGAGCGCAAGGAAAAAGAAAAAAAAACCTACTTTTGAATTTCGAAGAAAAAAACAGATGACCTTAAAGCTCTTTGAATTTGTAGAACAATTTATGATGGACACTTTTATGATAAAAATAACCCAATTTGAGAAAACTGGATCAATAGGTAAAACTTTTATTTCGCTGGGAAATCTGATGATTAGTTTCCATTTTCAAATTTGCTGTTCGATAGTGGAGTTTGCCTTCCTTTTAAAAATAAAAATGCACTGAACTTAAAAAGAAATCACAAGTCCAACCGCGAAAAATCAAAATTGAGCGTGAATAAATTTTCAGACTTTTCCTGAAAAAAGCAAGACAAAAAAGCAGCAAGACCTATATAAGAGTCCTCACTACGTTCCTTACTCTTAAACACAAGGTCACTTTTCCACCAATGAATAACATAACTTTGTTAGAAAAGGGGGTAACGCAAAAGTATCCAGTCCCCGAGCTTTCCACATAAATTTCGTTTCACATTCAATTTTTTGTTAAACTGATTTTTTAGCAAAAATATAGTGGTGGAAGACTCCGGGAAAAAGCATAATTGTACATTTCATGATAAAAGATTCGGGTCTTAAGAATACAATATTCACTTTGACAAGAAGCAAAATAAACAGTCCTTAATAACACTCGAAATATATTTACTGTGGCCAGAGGTATACTCTCTGTCTCGGCCACCCAATGCAATATGTGTTTTCCATTTTCATCCTCCAGTGTGATGTCAGCCTTGGCATTCATTAACACCTCTGTCACAGCTTCATGTCCCTTGCTCACTGCGATCAGAAGAGCCGTGAATCTCTCATCGTCTATGGCATCTATGTCAGAGCCACTGAAAACAAAAAACAAATCACTTCACATCACTTGCGATACCACATAAAACAGCATTGCAATATATCCGATAGAAAAGGAAGGCCACTTAGTACAAAAAAAGGAAAAATATTCAAAAAAAAAACTAAAAAATTTAGAATGGTGTCTGTAAGGATGTTCTATTTGCGAAAACACGACGACGTTTAATAGAAAATCAGAAACAATTATCGAGCGGCTACTAAGACAAAAAACTGTAAATTCCAAAGCCGGAAACAAATTTGTTGCATGAAACTTAGAACAATAAATTCTATTCTAAGAATTTTTTTTAAGCATTTTGTGCGATCCGTACGGGAGCATAAAAATTGGGTTTCTCTTGAAACGACCCAAAACTAGAACACTAAGCCGATACACTATGAGCCGAAACAATTTGGGCCGAATAAATGTTTCAGCGAAACAAATTGCAGGAGTAAATCAAAATACTAAAAGCAACTACAATGAAAATTGTCAACAGCTAGAAAATTCTAAAATGTGGCAACTAAACCGACAAGTATAAGCTGAGAATAATAGACCTCCAAGCTAAGTGGGCGGTGACGCTAAATATTCGAATTCCTTATGAAGCAAGGTAGCACCACGAATAAGTCCAGATGAGCCATGTGAACAAAGTTGTTTGCTTGGAAAAAAAGTCTAGTACGCGGTTGCAATACCCTTGCTAATCACAAGGGTAATTAAGCTTTAAAAGTGTTTAGGACCCATCATCCGTATTGAAAAAAAAAATTGCATAACGATGAATTTTTTTCTCGCAATTACGCAATATAAGTTGGCTAAATTCAAAAAAAGTCGACGAGTTTTGCATGTAATAAATTCGATGTATAAAGCGAAATTTGAGTATAAATTCGAAATGTAATTTTTATACTTCACTCCACTGTTATAAGAAGAAAAAGCTTTTCTCGGTTCATTTGATGAAAAAATCATCAAATGGCCTAACTTTTTACTGAGCAAATGTCAAAGCAAGTGGTATTATACCGCCAATGCTGCCTCCCGTTTCAAAAATGAACCTAAAGTAGAATTTCCATGTTTGCAAAAGTTACACCAAAAGTAGCACTTCTATTTGCGACCTGGGCTGAAGCAAAAATTGCACCATACTATCACAGTACGCTGGTGCTACAAGATTTTGATATAACCCAACCTGTTTAATCGATAAAAAAAATACTTCTAAGCAAATTACGTTTACAAGTTCGAATAAGTAGAAAAATCAAAGAGCTATAAGAATTCTGCGGTCAGGACATTCAACCCGTTTTGAAGATAAGGCCAGCTAAACAATTATATTCGAAATGAAATCAGCATTCAGTGCTGATGTGCATTTTCCTATAAAACTTAATATCCTATAGTTCCTATCCTTAAGTAAATACAAAATCAAGAAAATCCAACCTAGCCAACAGACAGTTGAAAAAGATTCAAAAAACGCAAGTAAACAGAAAAACTGACTTGTATTTTTTCGAACGTTCAAAAAAATGTCTTAAATCTTGTTGAAATTATAGTTGACACTTTTTGATGAAACTAAACCAAGTTGAAAAACCGGATCAATAACCAAACTTTCTATTTCACTGGGAAATCTGAAAAACAAATTCCATTTTCGAAACTAGAAGTTGATCATTTTTTTCGTGACCTTTACACTTTTGCTGTTGAAAAGTAAAATTGCCTTCCTTTTAACGAAGCAAATGAGCTGAAGTTGAAAAGAAATCAAGGTTACCGCGAAAAATCTAATTTTGGCGTAAACATATTTCATCAATTTTTCCGGAACGAAAAAATTGAACAAAAAATCGCTAAGAACAAAAAACTGCAAAAATCACTACGCTAATGACTCTTAGAAACATTAAAAACACATCAGAATACAAAGTTTCTCTCTATAGTCAACAGTCGAAAAAAGACATACTGCGAGGCCAGAAAGCATTCAATAAATAATGTACTCAATATTAAAACTTTTATTCCGCTTAAAAGTTTCAAACAACTTTTATTTCGATTAAAACTTTGAAAAAAAGCATCAGAGGTCTTATTTCTAACAAAGCAAATGCCAAACCACGTGGTATTATACTGCTAATGCTGCCTCCCGTTTCAAAAATGAACCTAAAGTAGCATTTTCACGTTTGCAAAAGTTCAACCTATTTGCGACATAGGCTGAAGAAAAAGTTGCACCGTACTATCACACTAAGCTTCGTGGTGCCACAAGATTTCGAAATAAACGAACCTGTTTAATCGATAAAAAAAACTTCAAAGCAAGTTACGTTTGCAAGCTCGAATAAGTAGAAAAATCCTATTAAAGATAAGGCTAGTTAAACAATTATATTCGAAAGAAATATCTGTGTTTAACTGGCCTGCTGATGCGAATTTTCCTATAGAAACAAATTTCTTAGTTCCTGTCCTAAAGTAAATATAAAATCAAGAAAATCCTACCTAGCCAACAGACAGTTGAAAAAGAATCAATAAACGCAAGTAAGCAGAAAAAACTTACTTGTAATCTTTCGAATATCAAAAATAGTCTTAAAGCTCTTTGAATTTAGAATTGAGACTTTTTGATGAATTAAACCAACTTGAGAAAACCGGATCAACAAGTAAATTTGCTATTTCACTGGGAAATCTGAAAATTAAATTCCACTTTCGAAACTAGAAGTTGTTTGAAGTTGATCATATTTTTCGTGACCTTTACACTTTTGCTGTTGGCTAGTGGAGATTGCCTTTCTTTTAACGAAGTAAATGAGCTGAACCTGAAAAAAATCAAGGTCACCGCGAAAAATGTAATCTTGGCGTAAACATATTTCCTCACTTTTTCCTGAAAGAAAAATTTGAACAAAAAAAGACCTATTTAGAAGTAACCACTATGCTTATGACATTTGAAAACACCAGAATACAAAATTCTTCCCTATTGTCAATGGTCGAAACAAAGATAATGCAATGCCAGAAAGCATTCAATAGGTACTCAACAATTAAAACTTTTATTTCGCTGGGAAATCAAAAAACTCAATTCCGCCTTCGAAACTAGAAGTCGATCACGTTTTTGTGACCTCTACATGCTTGCTGTTGATAGCGGAGTTTGTGTTCCTTTTAAGAGAGGAAATGAGTGAACATAAAAACAATCAAAGGTCAAACTGCGAAGAATCAAAAATGAGGGTGAACAAATTTTAGACTTTTCCTGAAAAAAAAATCATCGCGACCTATATATGAGTCTGAACAACGTTCATCCAATCTTAAGAAGATTTTTGAAATTAAGATCACAAAAGCATATCTGACAACTCGAGCCCACTTGAGATCACACAAATGGTACAATCAGTGACTTCCAGTGAAAGGCTAGTTTTTGAAATAAGCCTTTTTTTAAGTTTGCCTTCCTTTCAACAAAGGAAATAAAGTGATGCCAAACGTTTTTCGCGACCTTTACATTGTTGCTGTTCGATAGCAGAGTTTGTCTTCCTTGTATTAAAAGAAATGAAGTGATGCGTTACTATGCAAGTAGCACAGAATGTTCCGATCATAATCTCAAAAAAAAACACGAAAAAAGTTTTTTCAAATTAGTGTCGTTTTATCTGCGTGGTGTGATAAGAGGATATGAATGAATAACTAGAACTTGGGTAAACTCGGCAATCATAGTAAAACACTAAAACGGAAAACAATTTGAAGAAAAATTACTAGAAAAACGAATAAACCATAGTAAAAAACATAGCGAAATTAGACAAAAAAATCAAAATTTAAACCGTTTTTTTCTCGACATGGAAAACTTTTTTGTCGTTCGAATCAAGTTTTTAATTCGTTCGAATCACGACTTAAAGGGCTTTAAATTGATATTTATTTCCGACCAGTCCGATGATTTTTTTGGTACGTGATTTTGCGTGGAAAGTTGAAAAAATAAAACACACCCTAATACAAAGTTCCTCCCAATTTTCTATAGTCGGAAGAAAAAAAAACGACTTTGAGCTATTGAAAATGCAACCATATGTATATGTTTAGAGTCCACATTCAGTAGTATAGACAAAAATCACCTTAGATCTACCTAAAAACAACACCCATAGAAGTAGATTTAACGCCAAACTGATTAAAGCAGAACTTGACAAAGTAAAATGGGGCGAAATAAATTGGATTTTACGAAAATTTGAAAGATTAATAGGTGAAAAAACCAGGCTTTTCAGATAAAAGGAAAGCTATATTTATCAAAAACTGCTGAGATTGATATTGCTTTGAATGGAAAATATAAGCCCTTGAAGCTTTTTCAATTCCAATAGCACTTCATGATTGTCGCTTTTTTTCAAAAAAAAAAACATAGCCAACTGACAGCTGTAAAAAAGTAATGAACGCAAAAAAATTGACTTGTTTGTTGTAAATTTCTACGTTCGAACTTTTAAGAAAAATATAAGCCCTTAAATCTCTGATTTTCACGAAAAAATTATGATTCGAGCTTTTTTGATAACATTAACCCAACTTGAGAAAACTGGATCAACAGCTAAAGTTTTAATTCAGCTTAAAACTTAAAAGTAAATTAAACTTTCGAAAGTAGAAATCGTTCAAGATTTTTTGCGTCATTTCCACGTTCGTACTTGGAGAGTGCTATTTATGTCACTTTTAGCAGATGCATTTCAATTGAGCTCAAAAGTTCATATATACCTAAGTTCATTCGTAAATGCGTCAATATGTATGAATGCACATCTTTAGTTATTATAGACTGTTAAGACTTTTCCTGAAAAAACGCAAGATCTATATACTATGTTTATTAGTCGTAATCAAGTTTGGGAACGAGACAATCTCAAAAACTGTTCTGGAAATAAACCGATCTCCAGAACTCCAGCCATCTCCGAAATGAGCCTAACAATCTCATAAAAAAATCAGGCATCGAAAACTACTCACTGTTGCAGCAGAAACTGCACAGCCACTTCTCTATTGAAGGAAGCAGCCTTGTGCAGAGGCGTTTCCATACTCTTGTTCTTCACATTCAGGATCTCAGGGTCTGACTTGTGTGTCTGCTCCTTCGCATACTTGTACACCAACTCCAACATCTCCAAAACTCCATTTTGGGCCGCCAGGTGTAACGGGTAGTTGAAGTCTTCTTCCATTTTAACGTGTGCCTCGGCTCCTGTTAACACATCAGACGTCGCTATTTGCTCAAAAATAAAGATATTTAATTGCTATTCAACCTGATAAAAACAAATGCTTTCATTTTTGATTCCTTAAACTTCAAATGCACGATATCATGAAGCGTTAATATCTTCAATGTCTTTAAATAGTTACTCTTAAACAATATGAATATTATGAAGATGATCGCATGGTTCGCAGACTCTTCATGGTAGATAAAAGCCAATACTTCAACAACAACCCAAATTTGGGCGAATTTTTGATACTGTGGTAGAAAGTCCAGTTAACTTCAAAACTGGCGTCATGAGGTAAACAGCGTCTTGAATGAATTGAGACTTTCGGGTTCAAGAAACCACGAAGAAAATGTCTCACAAATTATTACTTACCGAACTCGAAAAGCACCTGGACTACCTCTAGACAATTTTTGTCCACGGCAACATGAAGAGGCATTTGGGAGGAACAGTCACTCGAACATAGAAGCTGAAACAGACTAGCACCTTAGACTATCAGCATCAGAAGAAAATTCGACGCAGACGCTTCAAAAAAGCTCCTTCCTGTACTGAAAATGCTATAACATACAGTTGGAAAAGAGTAAATGAAGGCAAAACAAAAACAGAATAAAATACTGACTTGTCGAATTTCGAAGAAAAAAAAAGTGTCTTACAGCCCTTTGAATTTCAAGAACACTTTATGATTGACATTTTAATGTAAAAACAAACTGAATATGAAAAAACTGGATCGATAGGTAAAATTTGTATTTCGCTGAGAAATTTGATAATTAATTTCCACTTTCGAAACTAGAATTCGATCACGTTTTCCGTGACCTTTTACACTTTGCTGTTCGATGGTGGAGTTTGCCTTCCTTTTAACAAAAGAAATGGATTGAACTTAAAAAGAAATCAAGTCAAACCGCGAAAAATTAAATTTGAGCCTGAACAAATTTAAGACTTTTTCTGAAAAGAAAAAAAATCATCGCGAACTATATAGGAGTCTGAATTACGTTCATCGACTCTTGAACAGATGCTTTTGTTTGCATGATTTTAATCACTTGTCGAATCTTTTTACTTGAACTCAATAATGGATGTCGTAATTATAGGCAATCAAAACTAACATGGCGAAGAAAGAATCTCTTCTAAACACGCTCTTGAATTTTAGGCAACTTCAAAACAGTAACTAATTACAAGTTAATTAACGTTAAGGCACAAACCAATTTTTAACATACCAGCATTACAGACATCTTACTTTTTGCTGAAAAACAGAGGGTAATTAGCGGTTTACGGAAACAATTCTGCGGCAATTTACTCCCCTTTTCAATATATAATTTATAGGAATAACTCAATTTTCGATGGTTTTTTGGATAGATTAATTACACAGAGGCGAAGCAGATCTTCGCACCACTTGCGATACAAAACAAAAGCCAGAACTCGAGCGTAACAATTGACTACAGAACAGCAACATAAAAAAATGTTTCGTGAGAAAATGAAACCATGCGGATGAAACATGCGCAAAAAAGAGGAAAATTGGATTTTTCTACACTGTAAAACTGGCAAAAACTGATAGGACAGACACATAGCCGTAATCAAAAATCGGATATGATGATGATGCAATGCGCAAACACAATCGATAAAACTGCGAACAGTAGCTCGAAACAGGTATATTGTGAAATAATGAGTAAAATGAGAAAATTTTTTGTGCCGGAATCGTTTTGACTTGTACCGGAACTGTAACCTGACATAGAGATTGCGAGAGCCCACATCCTCGCAATTGCTTTATGGTCGCTTGTTAATACGCAAACACTAGCCACCATTAAAACAAAAACAGATGCCTCACGCACCACCCTCCGCCTGGCAGAATTGGCAGTCCAGCGAGCAGTGAACAAAATCGCCGAGTGGAGCCTTACCTGGAAGCTCGCGATCTCACTGGGAAAATGCGAAGCTCCTTTTTCACGACAAATACAGTAGAAGCTAGATGATTTCCTTCCATCACCACGATCATGACAGCCCAGAACCCACTGTTTCTTGGTCTCCACTATGACAGACAGATAACTTTCGCTGCGCACATCGACCATGTAAAGAAAAAAGTTCAGAAGCGCTCTTCCACCAGGCAAGCACAGACTGGGGTACACCAAACCACTCCTCAGTGACGCACTAGACAGGTCATTAACGCACTAGACAAATCGATGCGACTCGACCAGAGGAATCCTAAACGTCAGATCGCCGAGAAGCCACCACACCGACGCACGAAGAAAACAGATTGGAGGGACCATACCCGCGACATCTGGAAAAAGATCTTCAGAGAAGACTGCGACCCCGAACCGTTACCGGATCCCGTAGCGCCGTGGACTAAGTTCTCCATCTGCGTCTACACAATAGCAGGAAATGACAAGACGATGGGACGAAAAAGAAAGCAGAAGCTAATAAATCCAACCATGACACTAACAAGCTCAACATCTACACTGACGGCTCAGTCCAGGACAGCAAGAAGAACGGAGGAGCAGGAGTAGTGATAGCGCCATCAGATCCAGACGAAGAAGCTGGATGCTGAGTTATCCCGCTGGCAAACTCACCTCCAAGTTTCCAAGCCGAACTGACAGCCATCAACGCGCTGAAACACGTAGCCAGCATGGACTACCAAGCAGGTCAGATCCACATCATCACAGAATCGAAGTCGGCTTTTCAGCGCCGGGAGAGGATCACCAGTGATCCGCGCCCCCGACTCGTGCCTGGAGAAAGAGGTCCTTGACTCCCTCAAGATCATCGCAGAGCGCCAGGTCGGTATCACCTTCATGTGGTGCCCCAGCCACTGTGGATCATGGGGAAATGAAGAAGCTGACAGATGCGCAGCAGAAGGCAGCGCTATGCCACAAGATAACATTCCATGGACGTTCCACTCAGCACAAGCTAAAATAACAAAAACCATGAAAAATACTATTGTGGAACATCCAAATTGCAGGATAACTTATTGCAAGAGCAATGCAGTGCCCAATTTCCCCTCAGATGAGGACATGACACGACGGGAACAGGTCACTTTGAGCCGCCTTCGTAGTGGACACCACACAGAGATACATTACTTGCGAGCTAAAATCGACAATGAAACGGAAACCGACTGTAGAGTTTGAGGGCAAGACGAAGAGACCGTGGAACACAAAATGAATGACTGCCCTGTCACGATGAACCACTATCCAGAAGATTGGAACCTCCATAAGACAATCACAAACCCAATAGAAATCTTAGAATTCTGGCAACACTTCCTGGACAAAAAAAGGCAAACCCACCGATATTGGACAGAAAAGGACGACGACGACACATCCAGCACGCTAAACACACACACAAATAACAGATGCTATTTAACTGCCAATGTTATGCACCAAAAACGGCACTAAATGAGCACTAGATTCAGTGAGTTAGTTACTTCAGTTGTTAACCTGAAAAATTCTATATTCCGATTTGATAACGCTTGCTAATCGCAAGCGTAAAACGCTAAAACTGGGTCAGCATAGCTCATTCCCAGCCTATATTTTGTCCTGTTACAAAATCTTGAAAAGCCAACGGTTACGCCATATAAATGCTGTTCTGCGAGGCTGGGAAACGTAAGAGATATTAATCGGGCGAACTTTGAAGCTCGCAATACCCCTCACCTGATTAGGTAGATTCTGATCCTGTTTGGCCGCATCCTGCAGCAGTATCCTGCATATCTCCACGTGGCCTCCTGCAGCTGCCAAGTGCAATGGGGTGCTCTGTTCCTGGTCCAGAGTGTAAATCCGAGCCCCGTGGTCCAGAAGGATTTGAACGATTTCGTAAAAGCCGTAGCTTGCAGCCATGTGCAACGGCGTCATCTCAGTCGAGTCTTTACACTTAAAGAAAAACCGAAATATCCTAACTGTTCACCATGGTTGTATATGCAAGAAACCATGATTGATTTTATTACTAAAACTATCAACTTCCGCCAAACTTAAGTGAAGTTTCAACTTCGCAGTACTGCCTTCGAGTAAACGCCCAGATATATATCTATTTGGCTCTCGTATCACCAGTTAATGGATTCAAACTTGAAACACACGCCTATTATATATCCAATGCTTCCTTGCTTTAATTTTTTTTTACTATTATTTGTGACATTGTTCTTTTACAAATTTCTTTCTGACTACTAACTTTCCATTTTAAACACATGACTTCAACATGCTCAAACACTTATTGTTGAAGTCACGTTATTACAATTGAAGTGTATGAGAAGAGTAATAGATGCAACCTCTATGTCCGCCCCACACTGCAGCAGATCCACTACTGCCGCCTTGTTTCCCTTGTAGCTGGCCATGTGTAGTGCAGTGCAGCCATACTTGTCCTTGGCGTTCACATCTGCCCTGGGTCTGTTAGCATCCCCACAGAACAAGTGGATCAGCCTGCTCTGCTTTACAGCCGCTTTATCCTCGCCGTCTGTCTCCTCTGCAACCTCCGCTTTTCTTGTCTTTCGGTAGATGCACGTGTAATGAAGGGGCGTAGCGTTGTCAGTGCCAAGAACCCTGGCACCTAAAAAAAGAAACAGACGATAGAAAAATTAGGTTTCAGGAAAATAAATGAGGACACAAATGGTGCTAATTATTCTAAAAACAAAAGTTATTATAAAAATCTTATAAAATTTTCGATTTCTTAATTTTTTAATTTTGTCTTTTTTCCGAACTTCTGAAAATCTGCAGAGGAAGAACGGATAAAAATTATGCTAAAAACCTAATAAAACCTGAAAAAACTCAAAAAAAAAGCAGATGGAGGTCAACTTTTTTTTTTTTTTTCGGTAACAACTCTATTGCCGCGCGTTGATTAGTCTAAAAGAGATTGAAACATTCGACCAGTTTTTCTCAATACTGAGATGTTTTAATATAATACCATAGCTGATAACCTATTATTGTTTCTCGAGCAATAGAAATCGCGGGTAAAACCTCACCTTGTCTATAGTTCCTCTCTATGAAAAAAGGTTTTAACAAAAATATACGTCTGAAATTGAAGTAGTATTTAAAAAGTGGCTAGGAAATTACATACTTTCAACCTCCTACCCAAAGACATCGATGTGGCACTACATTACATACTTTTAACCCACTTGGGGGTTAAAGCTCCTACAGTTCCGGCCACTCCTACATGTTTTATAGGGGGTTGAACAGAAATATTTTGCGACCACTCTGAATTTTGGGGTATTGGCTTGTTTAAATGTTAATGACGCTATATACCTATTATAAGCACCTAATGTTTACTTGAACCTAACACAACCAGAATATGTGGTATATGAGAAATCATCTGATATTTTGGCAGCGTAGCTAACTGTTGGTGGCGGTGAACGATTTCCGTCAAAAATGCATATTTTTTTTTGCTGAATCATGAAGAAAGAAAAATTAGTCAAGTGCGGCGGCCGCTACCCTTATTTAGGCAAAAGCTAATGATCAATTTGAACGGAAGAAAAATGCAAAATTACTTTAAGCCAAATGAAGGTAAAAGACATGGAAAAATTAGGAAACACTGAAATTTTTAAAACAATTAAGGTTATTTGAAATTTTTGACATTTCCATTTTCCGTGATCATTGGAGACTGAAAACGTGTCTAACTCTATTAAAAACGTTTAGATATTATGAATTGTATGAGAGAGCTAAAACACTGAAGTCTGCGAAAAATCCCTAAAAAGCAGGAACACGGATGAAAGCCAAAATTGCCCATTAATTTCGCTACAGCCATTTCTCAAACCACGGTTTTATCACAAAAAGAGTTCAAAAATTTCAATTCTTCTAAGAAACCTTTAGTACATCTTATCAACTGTATTCTGTAAACAGAAATTTTAAAAAAAATATTCATTAAAGCGGACCTGAAATCACGGGAAAATTTTTTGTTTGTGTTAGAAATTATACGACAAAACATAGTGGCTATCGACAAAGCAGCTGAAAACTTATTGCGACTTTTGCGGAAAGCATTTAATGAAATTAGAGCAAATTCAATCAAGAAACTGGAACACAAACTAAGACAAGTTATGGATACACAATTCAAACTTGATATGACTTTTGTTTGTATGGATTCAAACTTCAGAAATGGGGTTTACTTTAAACAATAAGATTTTTTGCTTCTCCAATATAAAATTTTGCAATTTAATAACTGTTTAGCCAGATACTACTACCTGATGAAATACTTCAAACCTCTTGTAATTTATGTTGAATTGGTTTCACCTAGAGTTCTCCATTCAAAGCGCTATCAGTTATTATCATAGATTAAGACTTTGATCAACAAATTGAATTTTGAGTTTTTCTAAGATAAGTCTAACATATTGAAAGTTTTCCTGATCACGCTATTGCCTCACCAAGATCAGTCCCTTTTTAACCTATTTATATAAAAACTCATCCAGAACTAATTTTGTTAGAAAGAGATCAGCCGTTCCTTCAATATAAGTTTGAGGTGAACCAATCTTTCGTACTCACGCTTTGATCACTAGCAGGATCAAATCAATTAACGTCATAACATCTCCACCCATTTTTGTATCGACAATGCTTTTCTCTAGTCACAAGACTTGTTTTCGAATAACAATTAGTTTTCTTAAAGTGTAATTTAAAAATCATAAACCTTAACATCAACATTCTACCGGTTTCTTCGGATTCCATAGAGATGACACCTGTTTCATGCTAAACAACGCTCTCGCACTAATTTGGCTACAGCAATTTCTGAAATGTTTCAGCGCCATTTTGTAGTTTCATTGCATTTCGATAAACGTCAACTACATTTGTCTTAACTTCTGACAGAACTGAGAAAAAAAAAAAATTTAAAAAAATTATAAAAACAAACCTGACAAAACTGCACAAAATAAGCGAAGACAACTTTTAGATACCAATTTAAAATTTGGTATAATTTCGAGTACTACTAGTTTCTTTGGAGAAAATACCTTGAGAAAACAATATTGCTTGTCTACCTCTTACTAAAAAAAACTTTTTGGTTTCAGGTAAAGCTCTGACGAAAAAAAATGAGAGGACTGCAATTCATTACTATAGGTGATACTGGTTAACTAATTCATTCTTGAAAAATATCTTATAACTGTTTATCTGATTATGCAAGGCGTCTTCTCTTTTTGTTTCCTAATTCGAATTAAGTACGCAATTCTTTAATTGAAAACAATTGATAAACTGTTTAGAGATCCATCAATTGATGGTGTTTAGAGATCCATCAATTCATTTAACCAGTCAGCTAGCCACCCATCCATTAGCCATCCTTCCATCTAGCAGTCCATCTTTCCATATAACAGTCCAACTATCCATCAACCGAACCATCCATCAAAAATCCAACCATCCATTCAGCAAGACTTTCACTCATCAAAAAATCCATCCGTTTAAGCAGCCATCCACCATCAAGCCATCGATTCATCTAGCCATCGTTCCATCCAACCAGGTACCAAACCTATCCTTCATTAATCATTTCATCCATCTAACGATCTATCAATCAAGCCATCCATCCAACCAACCATTAATCCATCCGTCCAGCTATCCATCCAGCAATCTATCTAGCCATGAATCTAAGCAAGCAACCATCCATCCAAATCAGGAACTAGCCATCGAGGCAATCAATCATCGATCGACCCATCCATTTAGCGGGCGATTCATCAAGCCACCCAGCCAAGCGGATATCATTCCAGCCATTCGGCTATCCATCCACGAATAGGCCGTTCTTCCATTTCTCGATCTATGTAACTAGCCATCCACTCAATCAGCCATCAACCTATCCGTCCTGCTATTCATCTAAAAAATCCATTAAATCATCGAGCAATCCATTCATCTAAGCAAACATCCATGAGGTTATCCATCTATCTAGCCATCCTACTATCCATCCAACCAGTCAATTGAACAGCCATCTATTCTTTCATCTAGTGATCTTTTCAAGCCTCCATCCAGCAATTCTCTCATTCATCAAGCTATCAATTCATCTAGCCCACTGTCCATCAGAAGATTCATCAATCTAGCCATTTAAACCGCCATCCAACATCAACCAGCCAATCGGCTAGGCATCTATCCATTCAACTAATAATCCATTCAATTATCCATCCCCCTAAAGAGCCATCCATCCAACCAGCCATCCATCCATTCGACCATTCATCCTTGCTTTTACTACATATCTATCCATCCACTCATCGATCAATTCATACATAAATATATTCATCTAGAAATCCCTCCAGCCAACCAGTCATCATTTCAGTCATCAATTCGGCCATCCAACAAGCCATCCATCCATCCAGCCATCTATCCAACAAGCCTTTCAGCTATGAAGTCATCCATCCTTCCAGACCTTCATGCATCTAGCAGTACATCTATTCCCCAATCCATACACCCATATTTCTTCAAACCACTTACAGTGATTCATTATGTAAAAAAATAGCCCAAAAAATAATAAAACCTGACCAAAAACAAAAGGCAACAGATGTCGCCGCGTCTAATCAAAGAAGGTGATACTGCTATCGCAATTAATTGAAAATTGCCTAATTGTTATGATTATGGTTCATTCAGTCGCTTTTGATGAAGTATATCAATTAAATTTACCATGAAATAATTTCAGAAAGTGTTTCTTGTTGTAGGTAAAAAGTCACCTTAGCCAACTAATGGAAAAGTTTGATTGCATGTCTCTATTATCTATTGTTTAAAATTTCTATTTTGATTAATAATCTAAGACATATTTGTCTACATACTCCTATGAAACCAATATGTCTTAGAAAAACTAGATGCATAAACCAATTGTTTTACTGTGGTCAAAATCGGTAGTCAAGGTTTAATCAAAAATGAGGAAAAATTAATCAGAAAAAAACATGAATAACATTTGAAAAAAAAAAACAGTTTTGTAGAGACTATTTGAGCTCTTATTGTCTGTAACCACTCTATTCAGAAAACAAAATTGATATAAAGTCAATCGGGCGCTTGAACAATGGATTACAACTCTTATACAACATTTTACCCGAGATAAGAAAGACTTCACAAAAAAGCCTGAACTAAGGGAAAAAATTTTATGTAGTTTTCGTATTACAGTATAGTCTCAGCATCTCATATCTCAATCACTATTGAAATTTTAAACATTGTCATGAAGACAAATATGTGTAACAAGCAAGCATGTGTGTGCAATGTTTGATTTATATGTGCATGCATGTATATTGTCTGAAAGGTGTGTAAGTTTTAAATTTGCATCCATGTGTATTTGAAATTAACCTAACTTAATTGCATGTGTTTGCTGGCTCATGTTTGTTACTTTCTATTGCTTTTATCTTTTTTTTATGTTTTCAACTTTGAATCTTTTTGAGCGCCCGCGTATCTTTTGAGCGTTTCGAAGCAAACCATATGCAAATCCAACGGGAATTATAACTTGAACTCAAGCTTAATGTATTTTAAGCTTATTTTTTCTGGAATATTCCAGAGTACTTCATCAGACAACAAAAGTACGAAATTTTGGTTTGTGTTCAGGAACGCATGTGATTTATGTATGCTTTTCCCTTGGAACTAAAACAACGTTTGTGAGTATAAATGGTTTCC